AAAACCAAACAAAAAAATAAAATAAACAACAACAACAACAACAACAACAACAACAACAACAACAACAACAACAACAACAACAACAACAACATCTGATTGTGGCAGATGACACTAAATCGCCTATGAACCTTCATCACTATCTAAAGTTCTGAGGCAATAAGATATAATAGCAAACGAATTTTTTTCCTTTTCATTTTGTGTAATGGGGTTTATCCTGTGTGGAGAGTCTGTTGCTTATAAATTTGTTGCTTTTACAAAAAAACGAATCCAGACCATTTTACCGTAGCAACCAGGACTTAGTGCCGCATAGGGGAATGAGGAAAATGCAACCAACTTAAGATGACTGTGCTCTCTCTAAACTTTTTTATTTGCCCTTGATTTACACACCTACTTCAAAGGTGAGCGACATGTGCTCTAGTTCGGTTCATTCATTCTATCCTATCAAACATCCGTCGTCTTTATCTTTTCTCCTTCCTTTCTTTGTATGTTACTCTCAAGTGACATATCTAATCTTCGGCGCTTACAAGACCTACTCGTAATAAGGCTGGTTAGGGCGTTGAACCCCACAGTATCTATCCGGAGACGCCTCCGACGGAGATAGACCAATCAAAATGCTTTGCGCCTCTGGACCAAGTAAAAAAAATCTGGGAGATTACAGGGGGGCTACCACCCCGTTTTAACCCATAATTTGATATTTTGCAGTTAGGTTTGAATTGTTCTTATAAATAATTAATATGCGACAGTTTCAGTGGCTATATGGTGTGATCTGCAGCTTACAATACGAAGTTTAACCATCAAAGCAGTGCAACTGTGTGCGGGAGTACGTCTCCGAATATTTCCTGAGTTCTCGCCGGAGACATCTCCGAATATCTTCTGCCAATCGTTGAACCAGCTCTGGTTGCACCAACACACATACTTTCACTTTATATGACCTATTTGTGTTGTGCGTGCCGTAAAACTCTTACAGAAACAAACTAAAAACTCTACTTCGCCCCTTCACAGAACCATGCTGGACACAGGTCAAGTCACGTACCCGTTGTGGCTGGGCACTGAACCTTTGGACCTCGAGGTGTACTTCAGCAACGTCAGCGTGTCACAGAGCGGGGTCCTGCAGGCAGCCGGCACCTACAAGATGTCCTTCCCTCTCAGAACCGACACGGAGAAGATGTCCCAGCTTTCACTGGCTTGGGAGTTGAAGTTTGTCGACTTTATGGCCACTGTTGACTTCAACTCGGTGGACGTGAGTTGATATTTGGTTGCCTTTAGGGACAAACGGGCTAACCCAGATTTCGGGGTTTCCAGAAATCTTGACCTATACCAAAAGTGGGCATTGCCCTACCTATAGGAGAAGTTTAGTTTCATTGGTGTGTATATTTGTTTGGTCATAGAGAAAACTCTCCTTGACTTTCAAAGAAACTGATAAAAGGGCACAAACTTTACCTTCGATTTTCTCAAGACAGCATTTTTCGGGATAGCCCACTTGAGCTTAACAGTAACCATTTGTACTACTACTACTACTACTACTACTGCTGCTGCTGCTGCTGCTGTTGCTGCTGCTACTACTACCACGACTACTACTACTTGTACTGATAATAAAAAATGATAATAATAATCTTAATCATAATCATAATCATCGTAACAACAACAACAATGATGATAATAATAATAACAATAGTGAATAAAAATGCAAGTATTTAGCGCATTTCCACAAAGAAAGTACTCAATGCGATTTACAAATAATACAAAGAACACTATTTCAATAGTGATCTTTTCTCTTCACCATGAACCCTCCTAGCTGACGTTTATTATTAACCCCGTCTCTGGTTGGACTATGAGTAGACGGGAATTCGTCTACATAAATTTTATTATAAGAAGGAGGGGAGAGATTTCTTCACACACCCCATGTCCCTTCCATTTTCAACCCTCTCCTTCCCAAGTCGGTAGTTAATTGCCTGACGGTTGAGAGGGGACAACGACGTCGTCAAATGTCTAAAATCAAATAAAGACCCGCTCCATCGCTCAATTATCGGGACTGGCAGTAAAGTGGTTGATTAAAATCGCATATTTTATAAGTTCAGGTATAGGAAAATTCCAATCCTCCATTTTATCAAAAGAACACGTCGGACAGAAACGAGGTTCAGGAAAAGCCAATTGCTTGGGTTGGCTTTGTCTTGGTACTGGCTGAGCATATAGATCAGGTTAAATTTGTCTCACAAATCGTTGAGAGCTCTCGCTCGACTTACTATAATCTACATTACTATCATCATCATCATCATCCTTGTTCCCTCGTTTCCACGACCATTATTCATGCCCTTATCAATAAACCTCCATCATTTTATAAAATAGAATAAATTATGTGTCTCAGAGTTGGCTGCCCTTCTCAAAGCTTTCGCCACGTCAACGTTTTCGGAATTTTAAATAAAGAACTTTTTTGCTTACCGACCCAGCTACTCAATTTTCGGGAATATTATTGTGTGTGTGTGTGTGTGCGCGCGCGCGTGCGTGCGTGCGTGCGTGTGTGTGTGTGTGTGTGTGTGTGTG